CCAACATGGTGAAACCCCATCTCTAATAAAAATATAAAAATTATCGGGGGCATGGTGGCGCATATCTGTAATTCCAGCTACTTGGGAGACTGAGGCACGAGAGTCGCTTGAACCCGGGAGGCAGAGGCTGTAGTGAGCCGAGATCACGCCACTGTATTCCAGCCTGGGCGACAGAGCAAGACTCTGTCTCCAAAATATAAATAAATAAAAATAAAACTTAAAAGAGGTTACATGACAAATAATCTTGCTTAAGAAAAAAGGTAATGATGATTCAGTTGGTAGTGTTTAGATAAAATAACTGTGTTGAAGAGAAGCTAGGCCAGTAAGTCATGCTCTCAGTCGTTTCCTTCATGCCTCACAATACTGCAGCATGCGTCCTGTGAACATCATTTTATGGGTGAGAACACAGGTGCAGGGAGATTAGGCCAGAACAGCAGCTAGCATTGATTGAGAGCTTTATTATCTACCTGTGCTTTAGTTAGCCTGGCAAGGCCAATGGTTCTGACAGCCCCTAAACCTCAGTGACCTAAACTCAACAACACTTTAGTGGATGATTGACATTTTTATTTTTGAGACAGCATCTCACTCTGTTGCCCAGGCTGGAGTGCGGTGGTACAATCACAGCTCATTGCGGCCTCAACTTTCTCGGCTCAAGGGATCCTTTTACCTCACCCTCCCAAGTAGTTGGAACCACTGGCGCAAGTCACCACGCCCAGCTGATATTTTGTAGAGACAGGGTCTCCCTATGTTACCACACTGGTCGTGAACTCCTGCACTCAAGTGATCCTCCCGCCTTGGCCTCCCAAAGTGCTGGAATGGCAGGCATGAACCATTGCGCCCAGCCGCGCTTTATTTTTTTATTCGCAACACAGGTTGATGGAGGGCCAGGAGAGTAAGCATGAAAGAATAGAGGCCAGGTCTACCCCTGCCCCTCAAGGTCCATGGGCCAGAACCAGTCATGTGGCCACACTTAACTGCAGGGAAGCTGGGAAATAGTCTAGGGTGGTGCCCAAGAAGAGGAAACTGCAGATATTGATCATGAGCTTTCTACAGTGGGCATTAAAAAGAAACAAAATATACACATATACATACACACATGTATAATTTATATGTATTTATCATGTTTACATTTGTATTAATTTAGAAATTATATATGTATATATAATCAAACTCTCATAAACTCTAAGAGGTAGATATTGTTGTTATTTCCATTTTACAGATAAAAAAACTGAGCCTTGAGGGCGAGGCGGGTGGATCACGAGGTCGAGAGATGGAGACCATCCTGGTCAACATGGTGAAAACCCATCTCTACTAAAAATACAAAAAATTAGCTGGGCATGGTGGCATGTGGCTGTAATCCCAGCTACTCAGGTGGCTGAGGCAGGAGAATTGCCTGAACCCAGGAGGCGGAGGTTGCGGTGAGCCGAGATCGCGCCATTGCACTCCAGCCTGGGTAACAAGAGCAAAACTCCGTCTCAAAAAAAAAAACAAAAAAACAACAACAAAAAAAACTGAGCCTTAAAAAGCTTTAGTAAACTTTCTCAGGTCGCTTATCTAGCAGGGTAGAATCATACTACCAACTCGGTCAGTGAAACTGTTCTTTTTTTGAGACAGTCTCGCTCTGTTGCCAGCCTGGAGTGCAGTGACGCAATCTTGACTCACTACAACCTGCACCTCCCGAGTTCAAGCGATTCTCCTGCCTCAGCCTCCCAGTAGCTGGGATTACTGGCATCCACCACCACAGCCAGCTAATTTTTGTGTTTTTAGTAGAGATGTGGTTTCATCATGTTGGCCAGGCTGGTCTTGAACTCCTGACCTAAGGTAATCCACCTACCTTGGCTTCCCAAAGCGCTGGGATTGTGGGTTTGAGCCACTGCACCCGGCCTATGAACCTGTGTTCTTAAACACTTCCTGAGCCTCCATTCTGGATTAGCCTTAGTGACTTGCTGGCCAAGAGAAGGCAGCGGAAGTAGCATTCTGGGGCTTCCAAGGCTGTCATAAGACATCTTGCATTTTCTGTAGGGGTCACTTGGAATATGCTTTCTGGGAACTCGAAGCCACCCTGTGAGAAGTCTGCCTACCCCACTCTGCCATGCTGGAGTGGTCATGGGTAAGCTAACTGGTTGACAGCCTCACTGAGCCCACACACTAGACATTTGAGTGACTTTGTGTCTTGGACACTCCAGACCAGCACATCTGCCAGTGAAATACCACAGAGTGACCTCTGTCAATGCCATGTGGAAGAGCAGAATCATTTACTGAACCCTCCTGAATTACTGACTCAAAATGAGGTATCAGAAAACACTCTTGTTTGGAGTCACTAAGTTTTGGGGCAGTTTGTTACACATCAATAGGTAACTAGCACAGGGACAGAGCCAGGTCTGACCAGCAGCCCTGGCTTGTAGCCACGTCATCAGCCTCTGGAGAAGCGTGTGAGTGATGAAGGGACAGGGTGGCCACATCCATCCTCCCGCGCTGAGTGCATGGAGACGAGAGACCCCATGTCTACAGAGGAACAAAGATGGCAATAGAGCCGCAATGGAGACCAGGAAAGATGTTAGGGGCCTAAGGGGTATATTGGTGGCAAAGGCCTTGAGCTGGAGAGGGTGGAGAGGCTACCAGAAAGAGAACCTTACCCCCCCACCCCCACTCCTCATCCACACCCCCAGCTCTTTCCTAAGCTCCAGCCACCCTACCTTCCTTCCCCGCCAACAAACTCCCACTGAGAGGCCCGAGACCTCCTTCCTGCCCACGGCAAGGCCTCCTGGGGGGTCTGCAGGTCTCTAGTTCAGAGCCAGGCCTTGACCGCTGCCTCCTCTGTTTCTGCCCCTAGTTGGGGAGGGCAGCTGCAGTGTGGACTCCATAGCCAGGGAGGCCTTGGGGGAAACTTGGTTGGGGAAAACTCAAGGGGGACTGGCACACCCCAGGCCATCCTCCCCAGGTACTGCCCTCCCTAGCAAGCAGGAGGAACTGCCCCAGTTGTTCTCCTTTGCCTCAGATCACTCTGCTTGTCTCAGCTCATTCCCCCAGGGGTCTGCATGCATCTCCTCCTGCGGGCTTCCTAAGCCACAGGATGTCAGTCAGCCTGGCCTCTCTCCTCGGGAGCTGGTAGCATGTCCCCTCCTCTGAGATTTTCTGCACCTGGCTGCTACTTCAGAGCCTCCCATCAGCCCATGCATATGCCCCCGCTCCCTCCTCAGAACCCTCCTCCTTTCACACCTGTGCAGGTGTTCTGGCTTTGCCTCCTGGACCCTCTGAGCCTGTAATAGGGCTCCTGGAACCTGTGACTAGAACCCGGTCAGACTAGGCTTGTGGGATCCAGCTTAGTGATAGTGATTGCTAGGACCATCCTGACTTTGATAGTGATTTCGAGGGAGGGCCCGGGATCGGGGCACACTTTAAAAGGAGTGCTGGAGAAGGCATGGCTTCACTTGAATGATGAACTTGCAGGCAGCAGTGCTAAGGGGGAAACTTGGGGGTGGGGCGAGGGGGCTCTTCTGGTTCCTTTTCAGCTATGCCACATGAATATGAATGCAACTCTGTCCAGCCATGAAAGGTACCCATCCTGCCAGCACCCCTTTCTGAGGGATTCCTGGCCTCACAAACTCTTTACAGGGTGGATCTGTCGTCCTAGCCAGAAATGGCTGCATCAGGATGGGCCCTGGTTAAATATATGTATTCAGTGATGCTTGTTAAAACAGAGCAAGGAAGACTTCAGGACCACTAAGACAGGTGCGGGGACCACAGCAGTGGGATTTTGCAGCGGGAAGAAGACATTGGGCTCAACTCTGGATACGGCATGGGCAAGTGGGAATTTACAGACAAGGAGAGGGGTAGAGTTAGCGGAAGGAAAATTGCCAAGAGGAAAATATCAGAGATAAGAGGGACTTTGGTTAAACCAGCCTAATAGGATTTTTGCTGAAAACAGGCCAGGGCGGCTGGATATCCCCTAAAGAAGGTGGAGAAGGGGAAACCTGATCTGATATACAGGGGAGCAAGGACAGGGAGGAATTCCTGATGAACTGACTTAGTGGGGTTGTTGCTAAAACTCGATTTTACCAGGAAGTGCACAGGTGGGTCTAGGAGAAGGTTCAGGAGCCTGACTGATGTTTGGTCAAGCAAAGAATCTTTGTCTAGCGCTGGGCAGAGACCTCTGCAAGCCTGGCCAACACGATGAAACCCTGTCTCCACTAAAACCACAAAAACTAGCCAGGCATGGTGGCGTGCACCTGTAGTCCCAGGTACTAGGGAGGCGGAGGCAGGAGAATTGCTTGAACCCAGAAGGGAAGGTCGCAGTGAGCTGAGATGGCGCCTCTGCACTCCAGCCTGGGCGACAGAGTGAGACACCATCTCAAAAAAAAAAAAAAAAAAAAAAAAATTCACCTCCATGGCACTGCCTGGAGCGTGAATGTGAATGCAGGGTTCCCTGCTCATCCTGGACCACCTCTGCCCTCCACATGAGAGAGAAATGATTGTCTTGTTTAAGCCACTACTTTACAAGTCCCAGTTACTTACCCCAAACCTGGTCTTAACTGTTCTGTCTCCTGACCCTCAGGGAGCCAGAGATCTGTGAGGCCCTTTCATGTAAGAGCTGCCATTGACGGGATTGGGGGACTGCCCACCCAACGAGGTGCTCTCTGGGAGAGTCTGAATGGGAGATGGAATCGGAGTTGGCAGGTTGGGTGGGGAGGTGGTGGAGAGGTCAGGAAGCAGGAGCCAGGAGGCAGTAGAAGTCATCAAGAACCGGAGGCAGGCAACTGCAGCCATAGGAACCTCAGAGGCAACACCAATGACAGCTGAGTCCTGCAACCAGAGCCCTGGGAGGTGGAGCAGCTGGCGGGGGAGCCACAGGCCATCCTGGGAGGCACTCCCATTCCTCAGCAGAGTCTTGCTTTCAAGTGTGTTACTCATGAATCTCTGAGGTCACCTGAGGGGAGGTTCACCTTGTGGCACCTGAAAGAACCTCATCATTCACTTCTTGAACCTCGATCCCACCACAGGCACCACCTAATGAGAAGGAGCACCTTTGAGAGGATGGTGGGTCAATGGATCCAGGCCTGTCCCAGAAATGGACACCACACGGAAGAAGTATGTGGCCTGACTTCACTCACTCTCCATCCAGCGTTGTCCCTCCTGAGAAGTAGCGACGTGTCTCCAGCAAGGAGATGGTAACACACCTGGCCACCCGCACACCGCCACCACCAAGCTGCTCTGCTACCTGGGACGGGAATGAGAAGCAGGAAGAACGGGGCCTTGGGTGCGCGTGGACCCGGTTTTCACTGGAACTCCTCCTCTTACCCAGCTGTGTGAGCCTGAGCAGATAGTGAGCTCATCTGAGCCTCAGGTTTCTCAAGTGTCAAAGTGGGGAGGATTTACAGCCTTGCACAGCTCTGTTGCAAGGATGGAAATCATGAAGCAGCCCAGTGCCTGGCACATAGTAGGCACTCAGTACCAGCTTGAGCATCTTCTCCTTCTGCTGAGACAAGCAGGGGTGCAGAAGGAAGACCTGTATCCCCACCCTTCCTGAGTGGGCGGTGGGAGGGCTGGTCACACAGACCCCAAGAGAGACGCCATCTTTTCCTGCAGCTTCTCAAAAAAGCAGTGGGGGGAGGTGCGTTGGTGAGGCAGGAGGACATAACAGGGCCATTACAGCCAGCCGGTTTCTAAAAGATCCTCATCTGGTTTTTCCTCACATTCTTTTAAAGATATATATATGATTTACAAACTTTTGCCAAGCAGTTTTACAGAGATAACAGGCTCTGCATTCTATTATAGATTTCCTAACTACGGTTGTCAACTTCCATTAGGATATTAGGCTGTCATGACAAATGCAGCCCTCCTACATAACACCCAGATTGTCCAATTACTACAGTATTTGCTTAATGAAAAGATTCTTGCAGGCTTTCCAGAATCCCAACTGATCTTTATTCAATTTAGAGAAAAGGAGAGAAAAGTAAAATGCCTTACATGAAAATTCCTCACTTCTTCCAAAAAAAGACTCTGGTGTGGTCTGGCCAAAGTATATGCATGTTCATATATGCACACACACACACACGTGCACACGCACACGCATTCACACACGTATGCATGCACGCATGAAGCAGGCTTATGAGAAAAATTTGGAGTGTCTTGGACTTTTTTTTTTTTTCTTTTCAGTTATAGCTCAATAAAAATGTCCTCATAAAATCCTAGGTAAGTGATTGCTTTGCCGACAGGATGGGGCTACCCGAATCCCAGGGAAGCCTGCCTGGTGAGATTGGGGGAGGAAGGGCAGGAAGCCAGAGTGGATTCCCCCATCCTCCCCTCAACCCCACCTCCCTCACACGCAACAGACACAGTGGGCTCCTCTAAGGAACTGGGAAGTGCATGCTAGTGGGGAGGTAGGGGGAAACCTCCTTCTTTCTGAAACGTGTCTAAGTCTGTCCAGCTAAGAGGCTAGAAGGCAGCAAGCCCTGTATCAAGCATAATATTTTGAAAATACTGAACGGCTGTGCTTTTCATTCGTCTCCCCAACAATCAAATTCTCTAGAAGTAAGGTTGCCAGATAAAATACAGGACATCCAGTTAAATTCGAGTTTCAGATATCAACAGATAATTTTTTAACACAAATGTGTCCCAAATAATGCATGGGACTGACGTATACTAAAAATTTATTTATAGGCCGGTACAGTGGCTCATGCCTATAATCCCAGCACTTTTGAAGGCCGAGGTGGAAGGAACACTTGAGACTAGGAGTTCAAGACCAGCCTGGGCAACAAAGCAAGACCCCCATCTCTACAAAAAATAAAGAAAATGTAGCCAGGTGTGTGGCATATGCCTGTAGTCCCAGCTATGCAGGAGGCTGAGGTGGGAGGACCGCTTAAGCCTGAGAGGTTGAGGCTGCAGTCAGCTGCGATGGTGCCACTGCATTCTAGCCTGGGCGACAGAGCAAGATCCTATCGCAAAAAAACAAAACAAAACAAAACAAAACAACAAAAACCCATTTATTTGTAAATCTTTCGACCCTACCTGGAAGTCATTTTGTCATTATTGTCACAGAAAAATGGGAAATGGAGGCCACATCCAGTAGGAGGAGGCCAAGAGGAGAGAATATTCTGGTAAGAAACGAAAAGAAAGAGGATGCTTGAAGAAGAGGGGAGGTGAGGAGGGGCAGCGACAGAGGTCTGTGGAGGTGACCTCCCTTCTCTAAGACAGTGTCCCAGAGGTAGGTGGGGGTGCCATACAGAGTGAGGAAGAAACTGAAAGAGGGGGGCTTTACTCTTTGCTCAGGCTTCTGGAAGATCATTTTGCACCAATACAGACGCAGCAGCCAGGCTCAAGGGGCTCACAGCATCAAGGCCTTCTTGCCACCTTGCTTCTTGCAGTAAGCCCTGATGTCATCCATAATCCATCTTGGGCAGGAGAAAGGAATTTGAAGTGCTTGAAGTGTTTTTGTTGTTGTTGTTTCGTTGTTGTTGTTGTTGTTGTTGTTATTGAGACAGGGTGTCACTCTGCCACCCAGGCTGGAGTGCAGCAGTGCATTCACTGCTCACTGCAGCTTCAACCTTCTGGGCTCAAGTGATCCTCCCACCTCAGTCTTCTGAGTAGCTGAGATTATAGGCACACATCACTAGAACCAGTGGTTTTGGATTTTTTTGTTGTTGTTTTGTTTTAGTAGAGATGTTACTCAGATCAGTCTTGAACGCCTGGCCTCAAGTGTTCCTCCCGCCTTGGCCTCCCAAACTGCTGGAATTGCAGGCGTGAGCCACAGCACTTGGCCCATTTGAGCTTTTAACTGGAAAGGGACTGTGACATTTTATCATTTAACAATTTAAATGTTCTCAGTTCCCAGCAGGACGGGGCCGGTTGTGTGAGGAAAGGTAGAAGAGCCAAATAAAAATAGACACCTCACTCTCTGTGCACATCCCAGTGCAGAGAATAGCAGCAACATGAGGACAGTGCACAGCATCTCTTATTGGTACTTTCCACTCAGATTCTAGAATACTTTCCAGCTTGTAATAGGTGATGGGTCACTATTTGCTGTACAGAAGTGGTCAGAGGGAGTGAGTTTTTGATGGTTTCAAGCCCAACTGCAGCCACGAGGGTCTCTCGGCCTCCTGGGTTATGCCCATGGACATCCTTCCCTCCTGAAACTGGCCTCAGGAACAGTCCCAGACCTTGTCCACAGACCCCCAAGTAGTGAGTTGCTTTGCTAACCTAATCCACTCCCATCCTGTCGGAAAAGCTACAGCAGCAGGATTAGAAAGCCTTTATTAAAACAACAATGCTTATGTGCTAGAGCCTGGGTTAAGCACTGTGTATTATTTCATTTATTCTTGAACATACAAACCTCTCAAAGTCAAAATCATCAGATAAACCTTTATAATCCACCATCAAAACCTATCTAGAATCTGATTTACTTCTCACAACCTCTGCCGCTACCACCCTTGACTGAGGCAAGCAGTTTCTCTTGCCTGGACATCCAGAATAACCTCCTCACTAGTGTCCCAGCCTCTACTTTTGTTCACTGTATTCTATTCTCCACAAACCAGAGTGTTCTTTTTCAAATGCAAATCAGTTTGTGTAAACATCACTCCCTAGAACAAATTCCAAACTCTTTTTGTTTTTGAGATGGGGTTTCCTTCTTGTTGCCCATGTTGGAGTGCAATGGCACAATCTTAGCTCACTGCAACAGCTACCTCCCGAGTTCAAGTGATTCTCCTGCCTCGGCCTCCAGAGTAGCTGGGATTATAGGCATGCACCACCACACCCGGCTAATGTTGTATTTTTAGTAGAGATGGAGTTTTGCCATGTTGGTCAGGCTGGTCTCGAACTCCCGACCTCAGGTGATCTACCAGCCTCAGCTTCCCAAAGTGCTGGGATTACTGGTACATGCCACCATGCCTGGCCCAATTCCAAACTCTTTACCTTGGCCTACAGGGCCCTATGGGATCTTGGCTCTCATCTGCTAACACTCTCTCACCTTATTCCAGCTGCATTGGCCTTTGAATGCGTAAGGGCACAGTCCAGTTGTTGTAACAGAGACTCCAGAATGCAGTGGCTTAAACAGACAGCTGCTTATTTCTCCCTCATGTCAGTGTACAGAGGTAGGTGGGCAGTCTTGACAGGCAAGGTGACTCAGCTCCACAAGGTCATGCAGGGACCCAGCCTCCTTCCACCTTGTTGCTCTGCTATCCCTGAGAATATTGTCTTTATCTGCTGGATTGAAGCTGGATCACAGCCACATCTGTATGGCTACATCCCATGGCTTTCCACTGTTGCTACTTCCTGGGTGCTGCAACATTCTGTTTATTCCCTTAACCCTATCCATATTCTATATGTAGTCCCTTCATCAAAATTTTATTGTTTAAACTAAGTCCGGTGAATTGTTCCTTGCTAGTTCCTGACGAGTACAGGATCCTCTGCACAATGTGTCAAAGTCAACTCCTTCCTAAAACTGAGCTTAGTCCAGCCTATATATTATCATCTTTTTTGCCTCCAAGATAGAGCCCTGAAATTTAACTGGGGTTGGCTCAAGGCACCTGTCATGACCAAACTATCATGGGCTGGTTGGGTGTGGTGACTCACACCTGTAATCCCAGCATAGTGGGAGTCTGAGTGGGAGGATTGCTTGAGGCCAGGAGTTCAAGACCAGCTTGGGCCACAAAGTGAGACCCTGTCTCTACAAAAAATTAAAAATGACAACAACAGCAAAACTTAGCCAGGCGTGGTGGTGCACATCAGTAGTCCTAGTTACTTGGGAGGAGGCTGAGGTGGGAGGATCACTTCAGCCCAGGAGTTTGAGGCGGGAGTATCACTTCAGCCCAGGAGTTCAAGGCTGCCATGAGCTATGATTACACCACAGCACTTTAGCCTGGGCAACAGAACAAGACCTTGTCTCTAGAAAACCTAACAAATGAAAAAACCAAAAGATCATGGATTGGCGTATGTCTATCTTTGAACAAAAGATCCATGGCAGTTTGGAATAATATCACTCAAGTACTTGTTGAGTGCCCACTGGGTTCATGGATGACCAGCACATTATCATAGGACACTCCCATCCAGTGCCAAACTGGCCACTTCTGAGCAGTCTTTATGGAGTCTCCTGGCTCTTATGGGCAGCCCTTCCCCATGCGCACGCATGGGGCTGCCCCGAACACAGCACGCATCCACTGAGCCACCAGCATGTGCCCGGGAGTCCATTTCCCCACCAGACGATGAGTTCACCCCGGACAGGTCCTGACTCCCTGCCTCCGTGACCTGCTGGCTGCTTCTAGAACAGGGCCTGGACACAGAGTCGGGCTTCACCTGGGTAAATGCTAAATCCATGGGGAGATTTCAGCCCCCACTGATTTGTTAATTTAATCCTCTTTAGGGGTATCTTAGTTCAATCAGAGTTGAGGAAGAGTGAGAAAAAGCACAGCAGCGACTGGCACGGATTGGTTGCTTAGGACAAGCCAAGAGCTTTATATGCATTCTCTTATTCGATCCTCACCATAAAGCTAGAGATGGAGCCTGTTCCTGTTCCTGTTATTATTCCCAATGTAAAGATAGATGAGCTTGGAGAAGTTAAGGAATTTGTACAAGCTTAGAGGTAAGTGGCAGAGGCAGGATTTGAACCCAATTCCTTATGTTTGAAAATGTATGTCCTTCACTCCTCTGCTCTCCTGCCTCCCCCATGCAAGCAAGCACCCTGTCAAGCCTGATCAGTGTCACTTTGATGCACTAACAGGCCGTGAAGAGGAAACCGCCATCTATCTGTAAAACAAACAAGTCTTGGCATGCAGACTGAGAGGCTAATAGAGACACAATCGACCGATTTGCTGAGATCACTGACAGGCTTGAGCAAGGCATTCATCCCTTGGGAAAGGCAGAATCTGGGGAGGACCCCTACCCATAGCCCCTGCTGTGGGTCCTAAGTGCTTCAGAGCTCCCCAGCAGAGGACTGACAGCGACTTTCCCAGTGTTTCGACAGCCAGGGAGAGAAATAGAGGTATCGATTTCAGAGAAACACCCTGGTTCCTTATGCCTTCTCACCAAACACAGTGTCCTCACATAGCTTAGCAATCAGAGTCAAAAGTGACAGCTCCACAGCAGATGTGACCAGGCCAGTCACCAGCAATCTCCTTCGAGAGCCAATGAAATCCCCAAAGGCACCTATACCTAGACTTTAGGAATTGTGGTCAACCCAGGCAGGGCAGGAGGGAAGGTGTGTGATCACGTGAGGAAACTTGTCCTCTTGGTGAGA